GTCAAAGTGTCATCAATGCATAAGTGCCAGATGTCTGTGTTTGACTAATTCTGTGCATAGATTCAGAGGATAAAGACTGTAAGGTTTTGAAGTTCATGATTATGAACTGCGCGCTGATGTGTATTTATCTGATGTGCCACATAAAATCACTTATGAGAGAAATAACATAGCTAACTCACTGCAAGCACTCCAGGCAACAGAAGAGCTCTGAAAAGTCCAATAGCTTCTCGATTTTCTTCCTCTACCACCACCGACCTAAAATTTGTTACCTGACTGAAATCACTGACATCACAGCAAGGAGTTTATAGAAGAAAGATTGACTGACATTCCTGTCCCGATACTTTCCTCTGTAACCAAGTGTGATTCCTTGGGTTTCACTCTAATGGTTAACATTACAATCACAGCACCAGCGACCATAAGAATAGCGCCATAAATGAATGCAAACTAAAATCAAATGAAAAAATTAAAGAGCGAGCAAATAGGGAATATGCTAGATTATTAGAAATGATTTAGGAACCTCGTAACCCATCGGTGCCATGAGAGAAACGAATTCGGATCCAAAAACGTTACCGAGAGGCTGACATGATGCCCACATACCCATGATAAAACCACGATTGGCTTTGCCAAACCAGTTGGCCTTAAAATCGCCGAGTATTAAGGAAGCGAATGCTTGTATAAAAAAAGACCTCGGCATCAAACTGAGTCAAGCTTACGCCTCCGCAAAGTAACAATTTGACTCTGCCAAACAGACAAAAAAATCAAAATCGTACCATGATAGCAATTTCACTCGGCCAACCACATGCTTGCACAAATCCGAATAAAGTATAGGTTAAGACAAAATAAGGAACATTGTACAATTTAGCCCATTTTGGCAATGCTCCAAACAGCGTCATCTAAAAACGTACAGATACAACGCAAAAAAATCGCTTCGCAACAAACTAACCGTGATAGCCGATCCTATCATACCAATGACGATTACGTATTTAGGATTCGATCGGTCGCCCAACCATCCCCAGAAGAATAGCCCCTAAGAAAAGATTGATTTTAAAAGGAAGAGAGGCGAAGTAATCGAGCAACGTAGACCATACTAAAACTTACCGCAGCATAAGCGATCATAAAAATAGCATCAAGAAGACCAAGAAAATTATGTGCTTGAGCTTCGTTGTCGAAGAGTGGCTAAAAAGGACAAATTGGGATAATTAAATTGACTGAATAAAGCGTATGTGCTGATACAAAATTTGCACGCGTATGACAACGGAGTTCTTTTCTTCTATCCATTTACTTAAGTAATTATTTGATTTTTATTCACATTTTCATCCACCATGTGAATGCAAAGATCACGATTCGAAAGTGCAGTAGCACGAAACCGGTTTGCGCGGAACCGGTAGCTGCTGCAAGATTTGCAGAAACTCATACCAGTTTCACACAGCTCAAGTTTATGTTGCTGAGCTGCAAGTGGCAGAGATAATTAAACATAGCACAAAATTGTTCAGTTCAATTAGAGGTG